AGAGTTAGATTCCAACAACCAGCTTCTGGAGAAATCAAAACAAAGATATGATGCCTTGGAAGCTGAGTTTCAGCTTTTGAGAGAAGAAAGAGATTCTTTGCACAAAATGGTCTCTGAATCATCTCAAACACTTGCTCTGGCTACTGACCAAAAGGAAAATGTTCTCAAGGATCTGAATAATGAGGTGCTCAGAAGGAAAGATCTTGAAGAGAAAATTAAACAGTTTAGTGTCGCTTTTGGCTGTAGGAAGACATCGCTCATGTCTTTCCACAGTGAATTTAAGTCCAAAATTGAGAGTTTAAGAGACAAAAATCCAGCTTCAATGCCCAAATCTGTTGGATGTTAAAGATTATCAACTAAATGTAGGCTGTAATGTTCGTTATCTTTTGTGTTCAGAATGACTCTTTTGAATGCTTGTTATTATGTATTTATGAAATGAAAAACTCTCGATTGATAGATTTTTTCGATCGGTAGACATATTTTTTCAACTTCCCTTCTGACTTTAATGTTGTGACATTTTGTACGGGACTTGTAACTCAAGGGACAGAAAGTCCTTTAACCTCACACACACTTAAAAAATTTCATCTTTCTGACTAAAAAGCAAACCAAAAATGTTATGGGGTTCCAAGAATTTCATCTTACTTTTCCCTCTTACCTGATCGAAAAAGCAAAACAAAAATGCCCTAGGGCTATTAAAAATTACATCACATACTAGCTAGTGATATGGTGGCCTGAAACACGCAAAAGGTGTTAGCCTCAGAAAGAAAGCGAAGGAATTTAATGCGTTTCTTTTCTTGAGTTGATTAGGGATTTTTATTGTAAGATAAGATTTTGGTGGAAATTGAGGCCCATAAACCATCGCATCACGATGGAGAAATCCACATTATAAATATAAAGCCCCACAAGAAACAAAATAAATATAAAAGAACCCATCATCTATATTTTTCTGGAAAGGAAATCTGTCACAACATTTAATATTTGAGGATGTGTCCCGTTACTATTAGGTGCAACAAATTTCCAATGCGCGTGATGTTAGCGTAAATCACGGGACCACAAGACTAATCAGATTAGGGTTACGTTATTATATCATGTATAATTTTGGGAACATTTCTGGTCCCATTGACATTAAATACGTGACACGTGTTGCATGATTCTAATTAAATCTAATGATTTTGATGACAGATTTTCTGTCATGAGTATAGATGATTTTTGTTTCGTTTTCTAATCCAACAATTGTCGTTTATGAGAATTGAATTCATGATTTCCTTAAACCTAACGATACCATGTCCTTAATTGCTGATTTTTGTTTTGTTTTTCTAATCCAACAATTTTCGTATATTTTTCTATAGAGAAAATCAATCATTGTATTCATAAATCCACAAGGACAAATACAAATACCCACAAGAACAAATACACAAATATTCACAAAAGAGTAATACAAATATAAAAGTATGATAACCACATACGATTAATCCATATACAAGCCGTATAAAGCCAGAAAAATTAACACAAAAGCTGCATGCCTGAAATTGTATTCATTTACGTATATCTTGGTTTTATACACAAATATGAGAGATTTTTTACTTTTTGGATGGAGAGCGAGTGGGAGAAGGTTGGTCAACAATCTCTGGGCCACAATCTCGAATTAGATTTTGAACTTTCTTTTTTTTGGCCAGTACATCACTGGAAATTCTTTTACTTGTGATCCCCAACATTTCCATGTTGATGACATCTCTGTTTTTCTCGTTGCATCATTAGTAATACTTTTGTTTTCTTTTCCTTTTTTCTGAAACTGCATAACTGGTAATACTTTTCCTCGTGATCCCCAAAATTTCCTTGTCGATGACAATGTCTGCATTCGTTTGCATGATCCGTAAGCAAACTATTTTTCTTCTTTTCTGGTTGGAACAAAAACTAATCGAGGAAAGACGGACATGGCCAAGTGAAAGGGACGAAAAATAGAAAATAAAATATTTCACATGACGCATTCATAGCATATGTTCACACACGCACAAGTCAGCATGTGTGAGCTTAAGACAGCATTTCAAATACGGACATCTTATGACGCAGACAAATACAATACAAAAACAAATGTTATGATATTTCCCTTTCTAAATGGCATCAAGCTGTTCGTGTTCACAATCGGACAACGTAACATTTTAGATTATCGAATATCTTTCGACTTTCATTTTAGATTATTGGTAAGGAAATACAAGTATGGGAGTTGGGTTCTGAGGCTGAAGTCCATGCAGAACCGTATTCAAGTTGCCTCTGTTCCATCAAAAGCAGGTTATGGTCATTGGTCACCACCACCAAGCCCAAGTAAGACAGAAAAATTCTGGGACCATTTATCAGTTCTATATATTGCACAGAGATAAAATTCAGGAAGAAGAAGTGAGGGCTCAATCAAAGACAGCTAATGAATCAACAGAAATTTATTTACCAAAACTACATTGAAATAAGAGACTAGATTTTTTTTTTTTTGGGTCAAAAGAGACTGGATTAAAAACACACCTATAAGACCTAACTGGCAAGTTGCAACCAACCAACCCTGGAGCTCATAGGTCTTAAAGGTACTTTAAACAGTTAAATAGATACAACACAGAAATAGCTTGCAGCTCTCTCTCTCTCTCTCTCTCTGACATTAATAAATACCCAATATTTCTTCTCTGTTCTGCTTCTGTTCAGCCCCAAGCTGATAGAAATGATTTTTCTGTCTAAATTAACTCACCAGAACCCCTTCATCACCATCATCTCTCCTTTGCTAACTTTTCTAGTTTGCACCCCAACTCTTCCATCTCAGCCTCTCCAACACAGAATTTACTAATGGCTTCCACAATACAGAAGCCAGTAAAACAACTTGCAGAGCTCCTCCAGGAGCAACAAGAACCCTTTGTCCTAGAGGTTTACCTATTTGAAAGAGGGTATCTGAGAAAGAGCCTGAGTTCAAATAGAGAGGGTGGCTCTAGTTTCTGCAAGACTTTTAACAGATCATCCAGTTGGGGCCTAAGCAAGAGCAAAAAGGGTTCTCTCAGCTGTTCCAAAGTACTGAGATCTGTGTATAACAAGCTTGTTTCGAGAAACAGTGGGCCAAGCAATAAGAGTTCTGAAAACAAAGAAGCAGAACTCAATGCTGACACCGAAATGCGCAGAAAGAACCAAGAAATTGTGGATTCAGATAGATTTTCCTCTGCTAGCAGTAGGACACAGTATGATTCATGCACGGAGGGTGAGAAGGATGAAGCCTCAGTTTCTTTGCAAAATGATCATAAGGCCTCCCTTGCGGCCGACACTTCTCAAGTTTCAAAACCCTGCAATATGATCAAAGAGAGAAAGGTAGAAACACCACTTTCCCAATATCCCTCCTAATCTTTTCATGTAAAAACACGATAACTACCGGTTGAAAACAAAAAGACTTTCGATCTCTAGAAAATAAAAAATATATAGTATTTGGTTGCTAACAAAGCCAACAGGTTGCTACAGATAGAACAGTTCAATGGAGGCTCATTGCAGGGTCACCGTAAGCAACAAAACCCCGTTTCAGTACTAAAAGATACACCACCTTCCCATGCAGATGCAGGTTCACCTCTTCATACTCTCTTATTACAATAAACTATTTAAGGTTTTTTTTTATGTAGTTTTCTTTTTTCCTTTATTTAGATTATTTATTCTTGGTCAATCTTCTATTTTGGCGAAACAGTGCAAGAACTCCCGGCCATGTCAAGCAAAAAGGAAAGTCCATGTCCATCTACTTGTAATTTCAAGATAGCAGACGGCTCAATAGTATCAGCTTCTCTGTGGGAGCTGCTTTTCCAGCCAGCATTAGAGAAGCCAAGAAGGTCTGGAGTGTCAGAAAAGCTAGAGCCAGTCAGGTCTAATATTAATCCTTCCCCTCACTTCGCGAAATCCAAGAGGGTGTTGCAGCAAACAAGGCAGCTTCTGTTTGATTGCGTGAGAGAGATGACAGAAACTCATGCAAAGAAAGAGAGAGACCAGCAGCGAAACTGCAAAAGGTTCCCGGGGGCCGAAGAGATTGGAAACCTGCTTTATGAGAAATTAGGGACATGGGGCAATCAGGCTGGACATGAAGCCAACATAAATTCTGTTTTAGAGTTGGACTTGTTGGGTTCAGCTGAAGAATGGAGTAACAATTACCAAGAAAGAAGGGAAATCGGGAACGAAATCAGCGACACCATTTTAGATGAGATAATCGAAGAAATTGTGGCTGAAAAGTGATAAAATAATTGTCTGATACCAAAGTTGGTTGAGCTAATTGAATTCTAAAGATAGCAAACTCATGTCAACTTCGCTGTTTTCTCCCCATCATCACCATTAAGTTCTGGTACTTAATTAACAAAAAGATACGCTCATTTACTTAAGAGAGCACAAAATGTAAAACAAAGAGTTAATTTTTTAGGCAGATATATTCATTATTGTTAAGCGACAGGAGAACAAAAACATCGGCATTATTCCATGAAGCAAGAAGCAAGAAGCATTTTACCAGGCCATGATAAATTGGTTGATGTAGATATTTGAACAACCGGCATAGAAAGACATTAGATTAGAGTGCCAAAATTATTCTGCCCCATCCCTCCCTGCATTTAATGTGAAAGTCAGTCTCATTCCAAAGGGGCCATATGCAACCATCATATGGTCCCAATCAGCTTCCAAGATCATCCTGTAATGCAGTTGGCGAAATTAGGGTAGGATCTAATGCACATTTCAAATGAAAGCAACTAGTCAATGCAGTGGTCCATAGAGATTAATCTTATCCCTGTCCCATAAATTCTACTGCTCAGTACATTTTACGGGTTAGGTAAAATACATTTACATGTACTACTAGTACTACTGCCTTCCAGCCACCATTGGATCGTGCACCGCATTCGATTAAAAATTAACTGCAATGAAAGTATTCGATCCTCATAACTTTTACACAGAGCATCGCCTTGGCATAGAAATCAAATATACTTTGCATACATAATGCTTAAAAGAAGAAACTCTTAACGTATTAATTATTCCTTCATAATTAACAGAAGCATCATGTGATCTATCAAATTTCCAGTGTATAACCATAAGAACTCCTAAAAAGAATTGGTTATATTTGGAACGTTTAAACCATAATATGCTTACATCTCGCAGAGCCACAAAATTCACAGCACTGTAAAAATAGAACAGCAGGGCTACTGAATTTCCCCATCTTCACCAACCTCCCCATCTTCAAGTTCCCCATATCCAACATTTCGACGGGAACCATCCTGATGCTCTCTCTTGTGTCTTCTATGCCGACTTTCACTGTCAGATTCAGGTGTATGCTACCATAAAACACCAGGAAAATATCATACATTTTCCATTCATAAATAGCTTAAAAGTTTCGACCAAATATATTAGGAAATAAGTTCACATACTTTTCTTGATCTTTTGCGGTCACTACTATGTCTGCGTTTCTTAGACTCTTCTTTCTCCTCCTTATCAGAACCTACCTCATCCATGGAACTTTGATGCCGCTTCCGGTGCTTTCTATCTTTGTCTTTCTCCCTTTTCTTATCTTCTTTATGACCATGACTATCAGTTACGTCTACATTTTCACTATCTGTTTCATCCTTCTTAGACCGTTCTTTCCCCTTTTCTTTTTCACGTTCTCTCTCCTTCTCCTTCCTCTCTTTATCCTTACGCTTCTCTTTCTCCTCTCTCTCTCTCTCTTTTTTAGCCTGCAAAGAAATAAAATCAGTACAAAAATTCCAAATTCAAGCATGAAAACATGTACCAAAACTAAATTGACGAAGTTATGATTCACGGAATCAATTGAGTCGGCATAGATAAAATAATGAGTCGCCCAGAAAATTGTACAAATAATTGAATAATCAAACCAGAAATGGTTTTACTCAATATTTCATTTTAAAGCACATATTTTAAAATGGCATGTAATATGAGATCTATCTTGGTCTTTTATAAATAAAAGACAACCCAACTTATACATAGCAATAAAATCCACACCTTTTCCTCCTCTCGCTTGCGTTCTTTCTCTTTAGCCTTCTCCTGTAAGTTTGTAATATATTCCTCAAAAACTTCCCTACTAAAGTTCTCTTCCCCAATTGATCTGAAAATAGGCAAGAAAACATTTACAAACAGCAATATCAAACATTCAGAGGGAAAAAAAAAACATGTTAAAATGTTTTCAATAGTAAGTTATCATTAGAAAAACCTGTATTCTTGGGTTTCTTCAAAAAGGTGTTTGCAATCTTCCCAATTAGAAGCAGCAGTTATTTCCTACAAGGAACAGAACATGGAAGGTCAATGCAATCTCTAACGTAACACTTAATTTAATCCACAAGAGTGACACCACACCTTGAATGTGTGCAATAGCTTATTGAAGTCGTCACCTAGTCGTTGACGCTTCTTTGCTTCTTTCTCCTCCTTCTCCTTGGCCCTCTCTAATAATTCCTCATATACAAGCTTCAAAATAAGTAAAAGTATTAGCAGATTCAAATACACACATCATGGTTTGAAGAGAAACCAAATAAAAGTAGTTGCTGATTTAGAAACCAAAACAAAGTTGATCCTTGCATCAGTGAACAGAGTGTTACAGATGACGGCATTACAGTGTATTCATTGGGCCGAATCAGATGGAGATTGTGGTGACACTTTAATAAATTACTGGCTGTCGTTTTCAAACCCTTCAGCTTTAATAAGTGAAGAAGCACTCACTTATGTAAGAAAACCAAGAAGTGTATCGCTTATTTAGTCTTTTTTGACAAATATGCATGTATTTGTTAGAAGAATATACAAGAAACACGAAATTGCTACAAACATGTGAGCTCTGTAAGTCTAAATTTGAAGGGTACCATTTGTAGTGAACTATACAATACAAATAGCCACTTCAATATTTCCAGGCACAAACAAATTTTATTTGGTTAATCAGGGGGAAATATGCCAGCAACCAATGAAATAACACAATTAACTCGAATTTTACGGACCTTTTTATTCCAAGTATGCAAATGAATAATTTTCAGTTTTAGGAAAGAAACGGCAAATATCAAAAAAGGACAAAGAAGTGAAAGGGGTTACCTTAAAGTTAATGTCTGATATTGATGGGAAACCAATATCTTCCAAAATAGCAACCTTAAATTCTTCAAATGTCAGTGTAGAAGCCAAGGTAACCTGAGGGAAAAAATGATTAATATTTGACATGTTTTCAAAAATTTCACGCAAGTTTATAACATCATACCTTCCCCAACTTCATTGCATCCTTTATCCGAGCTTTATCTTCATGATACTGTCCATAAGCAAAAGAACAATGTCAGACATACAGAATCATCTGCATTGCAAGTTACATTGTGTTGAGCAATCAAACTCCATTACTAAAATTGTATTGTTAATGTATACATGCATACGACCCATTATAAATTGGCAATGAGCGAAGAGGACCATGATAATATATACTTTTATGCATGGCAATTAATTCCAGATGTGGGATTCTATACTCAACAACTCACTCCTCATGTATGGCATGACTGAGCCAAACACATGGACGAATTATATTGGGTGCGAGGAGCACGTGACTGTTACCCTGACATGTGAATTGTCCGCTCTGATACTTACATAGAAGCTAGAGCATCTAATCCAAAACCAGTAGGCTAGTGGAGAGGTCTAACATTTATATATTGTTGGCCAATAATTCTCGATGTCGGATTCTATTCTCAACATTAGCTAAAATACAGATAATTAATGGATCAAGACATGATGGTATAAGATGCTAGGTAACACACCTGTTTCTCTAATTCTTCAGCAACATCCTCAAACAATTCTTTTGGTGTTGAACCAGAGGTATTAGATGCAACAGCTTCATACGAAGACAGGTCTTTAACCTACAATCCAAAGACAACACTTATCAAAAGAGCTTCAGATGCAGAAGCAATGAAACATTTGTCTTTTAATTTACTATGCAGCTCTTCTTCATATATTATCTCCACAACAATTAGAGTTGAGCACCTTCATGCAGTAATCGCGCCAGTGAGTTTTAGCTGTAAGAATACCGTCGGCAACATGTTCTTCCATCAGCCTTCGAAACTCATCGCGGTTTTTCCTCTCAACCCGCCTCAATTGTTCCTTAAATTTAGCGAAACACAAAGATAAGAACATTGAACTGGAAGAAAAATAAATTATCATTTATATGGATTATACCTTCTGTATCTTCTTTTGCTCCTCTTCTTCCTTCTCAAGGTCACGAATATAGTCCTGCAACCAAAAAAAACATAATATAGTTCTAGTACATGAACACAACCAATCTTCTCTCACACATGATTGAACATAGATTATGTGATCTACCTGGAAAATGAGCAACCTGTCAAGTTTTTCAAGACGCAAGCATCTCTCATCATCCTCTAAGCGATCTTGAACTTTCCGCCACTGGCTGTTCACCTGCAAATGAATGATGATCACGACAAAAGGTAATAGATAAAATCAGTCACAATAAAATACACGTACACGTTCCTTTTACAAGGCTTACCTTGATAAAGTCACAAGATTCCAGGAATTTTCTATACTCTGCAATATTCTGCTTGTGCTCTTCAGCCGCCTTTTCTTTTTCCTGCATATAAGAATTGAAACCTAGGCAGTAAGAATAGGCATCCTCTGTGACATATGGGACCACTAATTTTAATCTGCCCACTCCAAATGAGAATATTGTCCCACTCCAAATGAGAATGACAATGGAATACTAATACATGGCAATCAATTCACTCTAAAAGATAAATGTATCTCAGTAGTTTTTTATTGCTTTTGTTTGAGAAACGAACTCAAAATTGTATTCTTTTCTGTCAGTTTATATTCCCTACAATCTAGGAAGTGTCAACATCTATATGTAAGTAACATGAGCACCCCATGAGTTTTGTAGACCTAAAGGACAATAAAAATGAGGATATCATTTAAGGCGGTTTTACCAAAGCAAATTCAACAGTTGGAAAATGCAACTTTAAACAAATCCACAAATTGAAGGGAGTTAGAACAAGTGGAGAACTGGACAATAAGTGAGACAGCAAACCAATAAGCCAATACCACCTGTCCAATTTGTGGTTCTTCAACATAATTCATGCTTAAAGCATGTAAAGCCAATTCTCAATCCTATCTACTCAGTACCAAAATTTTTTGCTACTAATATCTGGAGTCAAATATAAGGCCCTAATTTACAATATGATATCTACAAATGGTGCAAAGCATAAGTCAGAAAATGAAAAATGAAAGGCAAATTGTTACCTTCCTCTCCAATTCTACAATGTAGCTCTCATAAAGATCTTCCCGGTCCCTCGCTCGTTCTACAGCCTTGAATCGTTCATCATTTTCAAACATACTGACAGCTTTGCTGATCAGGCCAATATATCAGTCAGAACATCTAAAACATTTTGCATTCTTCCCAGTCATAAAATACATATAAAAAGACTAAACTCAAAATCACACTATTTATAGAACAGAGAGGAGTAAACCTCCATCTGGTTGCTGACATAAGTTCCCTGGACTCCTTCAGAAAAATATCAAAACACAAACTTTTTTGTTAAGATCAAGGCATGATGTATTATAAAATTATTAAAGAAAAATGCAGTAACCAATTATGACTAGAAAGCAACATACTTCCAACATTTTTGAAAATTCTTCCCGAGCTTTTTTCTGCCTCATGCGCCTCTCTTCGTTCTCCAGTTTTTTCCTTTGACCCAAGTACTAAATTAATAAATCTCATTAGTTTTAGGTCACAAAATGCTGCGAAATATTCTTGATAAAAATCATGAATATTAATCAGGGGGAGAGTCATTGAGCAGTGCACAATTCTAATGAAATAAAAGTAGTATTGAATACGTGCAAATAAACAAAAGAACGACAAACACTCTAAAGCAGTTAAGAAATCATTAATAAGATTACCTCATTAAATGCTTGCTTCCTCTCACCTAGAGTTTTTAAAGCACCATATCTTTTGTCATTAATGATCTCTCTCATTGTCTGATAAAATTTCAAAAACTGTCAGAAGACTCTTCAACAACAAAAGAAGGTGATAATAAGAATGGAATAGCCAAGCTACCTGCTCCCAAGTCCAATCGGAGTGAACATTTGCAGATTCCAGAAGTGCTTTAAATGCATTTTTTGCCTCCTAAAAGAGAACATAATTATACACATACTAATTTTTTTTTCTTTGAACAGGCACAACAATGAAAAATTGGACAAAGACATAAAATCTAATATGTGTACCTGCTTATTGGCATACACCAATGGTTCTTCATCAACTGTTTTCTCCTCTGAAGGAGTCACATTGACTTTTCCAGCAACTGCCATTCCTCTTTTTGCTTCCTGCCAGAGAGAAATCTCAGAAAAAGAAAATGAAGCATTCTGCAAAATTGTCTTGGCTAACTGCGTTCCTCACAGGTAGGTGCCTTTTGCAATAGGGACTAGCTAAAATTAAACCTTTCTTTTAAAAAGAACTGCTGTGAAATCAGTCTTAGATTTCAACATGCTGTCAAGAAAAGGTGAATAAAATGTACTTTTATCTCTATTGTGCAACCATAATTTTGTAGGACTTGACTGGAAACTTCCGGCTCAGTTAGGACATTTGCAATAGCCATTAAGAATCAAACCTTACCTCGATATCTTGAGTAAAAGCTCCATCATCTGCACTTCCAATTTCTTGAGATGTTACATTTTCATAAGTACTCCTGTAATTTTTCAGAACACATAAAACCAATTTGAACTAGAACACATAATGTGAATCATAAAAATATTAACAGGATGTGGAAAATAAAGCACCGAAAAAAAAAATTCATACACTGATTTTGTATTGGTGTTGACCAAAGTAGGAGGAACTCCAGTACTCCCTGAAACAGAAGCAGCCACTGGAGTGACAGTCACCACAGGAGGCTGAATGCCAACGCTACCTGTTATGGAAGACTGTGCACCAGAAGCAACTGATGATCCAGTAGGCGCAATGGGGGAAGGATTAGAAAAGGAAGACACGGGTATAACTGCAACTGGGCTCGATACCATCCCAGGTAGGGCTGAAGAAGTGCTGGGGCCAACTGAACTAGATCCCATAGGTGTTTCAGCTGAAGCAACAGCAGGAGGGGCATGAGAAGTCAAATTCATTTCTGAATGTGTTCCCTGGGCAAGTTCTCTTTGAACCTGTTCACGAGCCAACTGGAAGCACGTAGTTCAGAGTGAGAACATTAGTAATTTTAAAAATAAAATAAAAAAGAAGGCTGAAGACAAAAAAAACTGACAGGAAATGGTAAGAAACCTTTAACTCCTCTGGAATTGTCCACTTAGATTCCCTTGTAACTTTGTTGTAATAATACCTGCAACAGCCACCCACAAATTAATAGTTAACAACAACAGGCCCCAACAATTTTAAAAAACAAATCATATTGAGAAAACAAAAGCAGTAACTAGAAAAGCAAATAGAAATATAAGGATATGACGCACTTTTTCCCATCTGAAGAAGTATATTCCTTCCAAACAGTTGATGCATCAGCTCTCTATCACAGTGACAAAAATTATTAAGTGAAAATAGTCTCAATAAAGTCATTTGAGAAAGAATACTAAAGGTCATGGTTATAAGTTTACAATTATGAGCATAATCAGTCAGATACGAAGTTCACTAGAAAAAGATAACAGTACATGAGTTTCTACAGTAGAATCCCGAGTAGAAAATAGGTTTTTAAACAAATAGCAATGGGGCACAAAAGAAAACACAACCTTGATCAGATGATAACAGAAATTGGAAGGAAATTTAAAGGACAGACAATGAGAAATAAACACGCCATCAACCTGAGATCCATACATGTCTATAAATGAAGATGTCTGCCCTGCTGAGGTCAATTACACACCCAACAGGTGTACCAGAAATAAAAAAGATGAAGATTGAACGAAATCCTTATAACAGGTGAAAAATGAAAAAGAAGAGTGAAGAATAATCCCAGTCAAATTCCACATATGTGTAGACTTCTATAGGACTCTGGTTCCTTGCCTTCTGTGGCAAAGCAACAGGGAGAGAGCTCCGAATAACTTATTTAACACCAGCAGAACAGAAATAACAGTACCCACAAGAAGTTCTAAATATCCTTGAAATCCTTCCATTTTATGCTAGTCGAATTAAACATACTGTTAGACCTTCGCATTTAATGAAACCATGACAGATAAAACTAGGACACATACAAATAATATTCAAAGACCCAATAATTGTTAAAGTGGGAACCCCCAATCCCAGTGACATGACATTTCATACCTCTGAAAGTAGCACAAGAGTTCCTGTTGAAAAAGCCTTTATAAACCATAGACAGCAAAAATGTCATATAAAAACAAACAAGCACATGCAGAGAGAACTTTTCAAGAAAATTATTTTTAAAAAAGATCATGTATGGTTATTTTCGTACTAACTTAAAATTTATATAAAAAAAAGTTATTAAATAGCCAAGCAGCATCAAAGTGGGAGTTTGGGTGCACATCTGTGTGTGTGTGTGTGTGTGTGCACGTGAGTGTATGTACATGTCAATCTATGAGACGGCTGGATGTGCTTATAAGAATCATATATAAATGAATAATATTTTCCTAATAAGATACTAAAACTAAAACAACCCACAGAAGTCATAAATTGCCGCAATAAGTAGGCAAAAACATGCCCATCTTAAAACTCCAGCAAGGAGGATGGATGAGATGAGGGAAGGCAACAATTACTGCTTGGCATGCATTAACCACATCCAACTACAAGATAAATAAGATGTAAATAACAATTATTGCCTGCCTTGTGAAACTGAAACCCCGTCTTCAAAGTGAGCTTACAGAGCAGTCGTAAAATTTCTCCAGACTTGCCATGACATCTACAAACCAGTTGAAGCACATGCAAATAAAAGGATAATTCGCATAAACAATTTCGATCAATTTAAGCATGGCTACAACCTAAAATTGTCAAACATCCACAAATGGCAACAAAATTTATAGTGCAAATTCAAAAAAAAAAAAACATTTCAAGGGCCAGTTCAACAGGTAATTGGAGATGAAATATAAAAGTTCTAGCTGCTGGTAACCAGTCAGCAATATGACTCACCTCCATTGGTGTCATCAATTCTAAAGGTTTCTCCCAACTAGATTGTTTTGTTCTTCTGTTGAAATAATATCTGAAAAAATGAATCCATCAGTAAACAGAAATAAAAAAACACACAAGGTCAGGAAGGACTTCAGAATAACTAAAAGAAAATCAGAAAGTAACTCTCAAAATAATGAACCACACTGTTTCATATTGAAAAATAAATACATAATGGACCATTAGCGGCCTAAAATATTTATATTTTACCAGTATAAATTGAACATTTCATCAACTTCGAGGAGAAAAGTATAGAAAACACAAGCTGCAGAGAAATCATGAATTACCTTCTTCCATCACCCGACGTATGCTCTTGCCAATCAGAAGAAGACTGCTGTGTTTGGCTAGGAACATTTACAGCCTGAAATTTAGAAAAATATAAATTACACCAACAACAAAAAAAACATTCATTTTCCATGTGACAGCTATGTGCTCGATGTCTAAATCAGGATTAAAATAAAATTATCAGTGTCATGTCTGAGAACTTAGTAAACAACTACCAAAAAGTTCCTGATTGCTTGCATTGCTTTTCAAGTCTTCTGTTTGCACCCAAGTGTGCATCTTGTTTCATAGGGGATGTATGACAATCGTAATAACATGACCAGTGTGATAAAAATGACAATTTAGATGATGCAATAATTAGAAATTCACTCAGATGACAGTTCTTTTGGCATCTGTAAAACCAGATGACTTTAACAATTAGTGTCAAAATCAGATATCAAAACAGGTTGCATGAACAAAAGTCATGACATTGGTATCCTTTAATGGGGTTGAAGGTAATTGAATTGAATGAAATACAATAAATAAAGTACTTACAGAATCTGTGAAAGTAGTGCTTGAAGGTTGTTGACCGGACTGCTGTACTGGTGTAGGAACTGCTGCACCCTGATTACCAGAGGACACCCAAGGCTGTCCTGTGGCAGATACATGTGCTTGCACTTGAGACATTGGCTGAAACTGGGACGAAGAACTGACATTATTTTGTGGCTGGGCATATGAAGGTGGTGCGAACTGAGACAATTCAGGTGCATGTAAGTATATGAAAAAATCTGCTCAATAAAATCAAGGAAAACACATATACAGAGATAACATCATGTGAGCTTACCATATATGATGAAGAATAAGGCATTCCGCCACCAGCTAAGCCAGGCATCTGATTATTAAAAGGCAGGGCAGGTTGCTGAGACTGTGATGGGACAGATGTAATAGGCCTCGTCTGCATGTATTGCATAGGCAAAGCCTGTGACAAAGGTGTAGCATGACCAGGCTGACTTGGCCTGAGAGGATACGGTTGCATTGGTTGAGAAAATTGTAATTGCTGACTTTGACTAGCAGGCATCCCAACATTTGAAGGAGGAATACCTTGTCCCACAGGCTGAAACTGTTGGGAGGCTGATTGAATAAACTGTTGTCCTTGCTGTGTTGGAACCACTGGTCGATACTGCATCAAAGAGATTTGTACATACACCACTTATTAATAATCGACCAGAAAGTAGAGATGACAAAAGTCACCGAAGATAGGCAGGAGAAGAAATTACTTGAAGAGATGGGGATGAACCAAAACTTTGAGGACCCAAGGAAGCAACTGGAGGAGGCCGATATGGCTGACCGATAGAGGGAGGGAGAGATTAAAGAAAAAATACCAAAATTAAAAGTAAGTAAATAGTGTATTCCTATAAGGAAGGAATTACATAAATAAAAAATATTACTTAACCACATTTGTTCATACACTTAGAATGGTTAAAGTAAGTACTGACAGAATATGAAGTTTATATGACACCTAGAAAGACAACATGTACATGTAATTCCACTATCCTAAATCATAAACCATAATCAAAAGTGAATTACATTACAGGACAAAAATAAACTCATAATGACTGCTTAGCAATGATGAGGTTAGAAGTTAGGTACCTGCGCAGCTGAGGACTGAGGGTTATTAGCCATTTCAGCGCATATGCAATTAGGCAACCTGCAAAAATCAACAAACAAATATTTTCAATAAAATCAACAAGCTAACGCTAGTTGGAGACCCAAAAGCAGGAAACTGTGACTGAAAGTGCACCAAACCAGGTAAAGAATTGATTCCAATATGAGACTAGTTGAAAACGAACACTCAAATGCACCTAAACTCATCTATGCACTGCTTCTATTTAGACTTCCCATCCGCAATTACTAAAATAAATTCGACCACGGACCATTTGTATATAAAAAATAATAAGACTGTAATTTAATCTAATTGGACTCTGCACTTGAAACCTAGGGCAAATGTTGAGGAAAGAAAGAAGACGAAGAAGAAAGGGATGAGCAACCGTTCTGAGTTTTGAGAGGACGGGGGAGAAGAAGCACTTACAGGTGGGAAAAGGAGTGGGCGATCAGTGGTGCGAGAACTTGTTCTTGCTGACGAAAGATAGAGCTAGATGATCTCGCTGACTGTGTCTCCACCTAGGCGCTAGGGTTTAAGAAATCAGAGGGATTTGTTTACAGAGAATGAGGGCTCAAGAAATCAGAGACAGTTGTACTAACGTTTACCGACTTCCAATAATTACCCTGTGTTCCGCGGAATTTACACGCAGTCACAGTTAAAGCGTTTTTACTTGTGCATTGTGGTTCGGGTCGCTTTGAGCGGGTCGGATATACCCACACGCACCTTTTTTTTATTTCTCTTCTTCATTTTTTATTTTTTTTCTTTAACGAAATCCCGCGAATGCCAAATATGTGAGATCCAACGACTGGTCAATGGGCCTTTCATGCTGTTTTTCTGCGTTACCGGCCTCTCCAATCCGATTTCAGATGAAGCCTGTATTATGTTTATTTATTTGAAATGGATATTTCAACTCCTAACTTCCACCATATTTATTATGGGAGATTCACTATTATACCTAATATATGAGCCCAAATTATAAAAAACCTCTATATGAAATGGACTTTAAAAATATACCCAAAGCCTATTTACAATATAACAAAAAAGCTTTTAACTTCTTTTAAATTACAAAACAGCAGCTATCATTTTTTTGATTTTTTTGGGGTTTGTTTATAGAAATTAAATAGTGTATGGTTTATTTATAGTTTTAGTGCTAAAAATAGGTATATGACTAAATATCTCATTTATTAATCCATAATGACTCAAAAATTATATAGGTTACACATTAAAATTCATAATACAATACTTGAAAATCATAAATTAAATTAATTACTAGTAGTAGTTGATCTAACTCATTTCTTCCCTCAAATTAGTCATGACTTCCCCTCATTTCTTCACTCAAATAGTCATGACTTCCCCGTTTTATTTAAGGTACTTCAATTCGAATTTTACCTACCAAAGTTTGTGTAAATGTTTTTTCTAAATATCTTTTGTTGCTTATTTCATAAAATAAAATTCAAATTTTACCATATCAACTAAGCTTCAAAAAATTTCAATTATAGGACAAAGCAAATCACTAATTCTAAGGGGGATCAAGAGCTGGTGTTTTCAATATCAAGCTTTTTTTTATTATGAACCAAAGTCCTTGTTGAGGATTCCACAAATTTATCAATAATAACCATACTCTCATTATATCACAAATTAATGGTTTGTCTCCACTTTCATTAAGTTCTTATTGTAGCTCTAAGTGATTAAAGTATTTACCCTTATTCATGACGAGGTTCTGAGTTCGACTTATTTCCTTCCCTCAATATCTCTTGTACTTTCCGATAGACCAAACTCAAGAAAGGAGAAAAACGAAAGTTGAAAACATGATAAAATTCCAAACCAAATATTGCAACATCATTTTCTTAAAAATGATCACCATGAAGATCGTTATCCCTACCCATAGCTAGGGCCAAATACACATACTAATTGGAAATGAACCAAGTCTAAAGTGGTCTGTCTCTATGATAGGGAACCCGAGACACCCTGACCAAACTATCATCCCTTACACTGCTCGACCATTTACACGACAAGTCAAACCCAAACCAACTCCCCAGTCCAGATCGAAACCGATATTTATTGGACGACGTCGTCTTGTCCTTTGCCTTCCCCTCGGGGGGCTTGGTGCACTCTTGGAAGGCCACTAGAAAAGGGTCTTCGTGTTTTCTAAGAGCCTTTGTGGAGGAGCTTCTTGAAAGGGGCTGAAAGGTGCAGGGAGGCAGAGGCAGATGAAAATCTTGGAGAGAGAGTTTAGGAGGAGCCTCACCACAAGGGCAAGGTGGGGGTGGCAGCTCTCTGTAGGGGTGTGGTGGTTGTGTGGCTTTGGAGACACCAGGCTTGTTTTCCCATGAGAAGGGCACCTTGCCTAGGGAATATTGGACCTTGCTTTGACTGCTCATACTTGGGTTTTTTCTGTATGGTTATGAAATTTGTGGAGAAAATGAGAATATATATATATAGTGAGCTATCTACATATACTTTGTGGGTTTTTCTTTTTATCTTTTTTATTTTTTAAGCGGCAGAGTTCGATAGGGCCAAGCAAAAAAAACGTGAAGGGGATCTGAGAATGGGGTTTTTTTCAGTCACTAGTTGATGCGGACAAGTTATGTGCTTGCCCTTTCACTTGACAAAAAGCAATAAATCCACAAACTACATATTTGTTTGATGACATAGGAAGAAAACTATATCTTGAAAAGTAAGTAAATACAAAGGAAACCTACAAAAAATAAATGAATTGAATTAGTCCCAGATAGCCCATATTATATTATTTTTTACTTCATTGCATTCAAAAAACAAGACAGAAGCCAAGTAACTTTTTCTTATTTTGCTTCATATTGCAAAGCCAAAATGTATTGTGATATTACCAGTAGATAAAATTACAAAAAAAATATTTAACTAGTTTGGTGCACGTGTACCACATGAATTAATTCCTTTCATATCTGATAACAAGTCTGATCGAATCTTTTAGCTCGATAAAAATGTGAAGATAAAACAAGAGCTTGATGAATTTCCAAAAAGCATTGCGATATTTTCTTCATTTTTAAATGAAAATACGAAGAGGAGATTATGGATGAGATTATTGTAAAATTAAATATAAGTGGTAGAAAAAGTCAATAAACTTTCGATTTCAAATTATCATAAAATGAAAATAGAGATGGGAAAGACCAAGATAACATATAATGAAAATATAATAATTCAAAAAAAATTTGGTGTCCGGCGTGTTAATTTTTATTTAGGTATGAGTGGAAGATTGAAGGGAAAAGACAATGAATGGGTGATAAAAGAAAGATTACTGTGTTATCGTGGGCCTGGCTGACTTGGTTATATTATTGAATTGAAATTTTTGGTGGGGAAATGAAAGTTGAAGAAGCCACGAGACAAACTTGGATGATGTTTGACTGAATTCATATTTAACTTCTTTACATGCACAAAAGACAAGCACCATAGACTTTTCTGTCACATTTAAAAACCAAAGTTGAAAACTTCTCTTTTATTTTGCCAAGGTTACCAATAAGCATTTTAACATTTGATGTAGCTAGGTGTGAGTTAATTAATTAAACTTGGACACTAAAGACACACGGTATATGTGAGAATGAAATTACTGTGTGCAAATAGAAAAGAAGAATTTGAGTAGGGAACAATTGGGCTACATGTTTCATGTACCTATCCGACAGTACCTTGAGGGTTAGTCCCCACAATCGCGCGGGGGATACCTTGATTTTCACCAAAAATTACTGTATGCAAATAGAAAAGAAGAACGGTGAACGTGACCTATCATATTTCATGTAATATGCAAGTAATGGTATATACGAGTTTGGGTAGGGAACAATTGGGCTACATGTTTCATGTACCTATCAATTGCCACATTTGGGTACAATTTGCAAGTCGAAACTCAAAAGGAAACTTGACCAATTTGTAAATGAAAGTTACAAGAAATAAAATCTTATTGAGTTCGATAATGAGAGAGTAACAATATTCCCACATCATGATGATACATCAATTTATAAACAAATGATAGGGGGCCTAAGGCCTTTATGTGAAGAAGAATAAAGGACAAAATGAAACACCAAACTTGGTAATCGAAAACTACACAAATGGACCACGTTCATATTTCTTCCTCTATATCTCTCTCTATTTGGGAAGACAAAAACGACACACCGTAGGCCCTTTAGGTAACGTGAAAAATATGAAAAAACGACAAATAAAACACTGTTTGGTTGCCATCAAACGTGGTATCTCTCTATTTAGGAGACTGAGGCATTTTAATTATACTGTCCTCCCTAACACCACAAGAATACTTGCATGAGAAACTGAACATGGTCTTAACTTTCTTCTCACCATAATTTCCAGCTGGACTATTAGGGTTCTTGGCTTTGCATTTCATCAAAGCAGCCAAAAATGGGTCTTCTTCCTTTTTAACACCGCCACCCATCAATCTGAACGAGTTTAACCTAACCGAAGGCTGAATAGAACACAGAGGAAGACGGGTTTGCCGATCAACCACCATAAACCTAGCACTCCTACCTGGGGATGTTGATAGACAAGGAGGCGGCCTCAGCTTCAACGTTAAGTGCTCCATGTTCAAATGCTCCGATAGTACTTTATGATCGCGATGATCATGTACAACCGTTACAACCTTGGACATCCCGGGCTCATTCTCCCACGAAAAGGGTACACTAGCCTGAGATGGCCGTGGCATAACGGCCTCGCTGTCACTTGATCTTCTCCGGTGCATGGTGTTCAAGTAATGCAATGATAAATGTTTTGGTTTAAATTTATGGTTGCGATTATGTGCTAATCGTTTGCCTTTAAATGGGTAGCTAAATGTTGTTTCTGTGTTAGGGATGCAGATATGAATAATGGGAAAAAAGATGGCAAGCTCCTTTTCAGTTCACGTCATTGATCAATAACGTAGAAAAGTTGTGAGGAATATATAGTTTGGCTTTAGCTATAGGGTTCTCTAACAAACTTGGATTTGATTTGGTGGCTAATGTTTCTGAACACCCGAATTGATTTTCAGATCGGTTTCAAATAAATGAGGCGTGAGTATGAATCTCAATTAGGGTATTTTCTTTTCATTAATGTTAGGTATTTCTTGTTTTTTTGTTTGTTTTTTCCTTTCCTTTTTAATTACATGTACTTATCACTCTCTCTCTCTCTCTCTCTCTCTCTCTCTCTCTCTCTCTCTCCATGGACAATGATTTTTCATCCATATATCCATCTATCTATACGCTTTCAAATTGAAATTAATAAATTGGGTATCAATCAATTTATGATCATAAGAAATGAAACTAAGAAGTTCTTTATATTCCATTTTGAGTAATGATTTTTATATGGGATTATCTATAATCCAATATTAGGTCAATTAAAATATTATGGTTTGGTGAATCGTGGAGCGATCAAGACCTTACAATCAAAATCGATCAATTTAACCAACTAAACAATTTGGGCGATGATACTTTGCTTCAAAATGATGGAATACATACGTAGTTTAAATCTCAATCCCTCGTTCATACATTATACATATAAAAAGATAAACAATCAACTCATATCCTATTCCTATCCATGGAAACAAGTTAGGATATATTAATTTGTACGAATTGGAATATCTTAACTTCATATGGAAGCTATATAGTATTTTAGTTTAGGTATGACCCTATGAAAAATGAGGACAAATATTATATAGTTTTGAAGTTGAAGCTACAATATCTTTTATTTTGCGACAGAAACCGGGCCTCTGTCTTCAGTTTTAGGTCCAAGCTAGTTGGCCCAATTGTTCACTTATTTCAAGTCCCAATATAAAATACATCAGCGTCGTTTTTAATATGATGACACGACACCATCTTCACTGCCGTTTGACCTCCGGTTGATGTGGGCGCGCTAGGGTTTTAGGGCTTCCCCTCACCGTTCTCTATAAAAATATGAAAACTGGTTGAGAAAGCAGCAACCACAGCGGCCTTGAGTTTCCTATTCGTCTACTTTCCACTGGTTTCAAACCCAGAACTCAAAACCCTAGGATTTTGAGATTTCAGGCCTCTGGGTAAACACATATGTTTTCTAAATCTATAGATTTATTTTTGATGATTTAATCTGTGAAGTTCCATTTCCTGTGATTTGTGAATTTGTGAAGGGTTGGTTGCGATGATTATAAAAATTCCTCGTTCTGAATGCTATAGCCATGGCATGACAGACACCTATACACCCATAGAATATGAGCACCAACCCACCCATTTCAATTATGTCAATTTTAAATTTTCTTCTGTTTGTGTTCAAATCGGCTGATTTTTCTATCATCCATGAGCTTGAATTTTTAATTTGGCATTAGGGTTTTGTTTGTTCTTTCTTCCCCATCAGTAATTTGATAATATTTTGTTGGTTCTGGATCGAAATAGGAGTTGATTTTTGAATCCACAGAGCATTTTGCTATAGTGCTTTGTGTTTAGACATCTCCTGAAAGTAATCATGGTGGTGTTTAAAGCCCTAGTTGACAGAACTAAAAAATGAATATGGGGTTACGCACACCTCCACATTATCTTCAAGTAATAACCCTAGAAGTTAAACCATTATGCTTACCCAGATGGCTTTGTGTTTTGGATTCTGATCAAAATTGGATCATCATTTTAGATTTTGGTTCAAGTGACATTACTTTCTGAGGCAGATGATTGACATTTGAAATGACACAATGTAGCAGTGATGAGCAGCTAACACGTAAGAAATTCCCATCTTTTGTAGTTGGGATTTTCAATGAAATTCTCTTGTTACGCTTGGCTTCTGAGCTCTCCTTTTTTTAGCTAATATAGTTAAATCCCAAAAGAAAAAGTTTGGGTCATAAAATATTTTCGAAATTGTAGAGAAATTGGTCTAAAGATAGGACATCTTGATTCTCAGTTTGTATGTGGAGTAAAATGATACCGTAAGACCTTACCCTAAAAAAAGAAAAACTGCAGAAAATCAACCTTTTTAAGAAAATAGAATCAAATCACACAATACAAGGGAGGTTGCCATTGCTACTTGAAGCTTTGACACTGGACCTGTGATGTTGCTGGCTAAAACATATCTCTCCCCTAGTCGTTTTCCTCCAACAAAGAGACTGTAATGAGGGCTTCACAGCAGCTTTGATTCATCATGCTTTCAGGCCTGCCCAGTCTTGGTGGAGCCCACCTCCTGTCCGGGCTGGATTTGCTTGGTGGGATGTGTTTAGCCAGCCCAGGTGGCCTTTTGCCATGAAAATGTCACCGCTGGAAGTGTTGTGAGAGACAAAGAGACTGTAACGAGTAGTTGCCAAGTCTCCTACTCAAGAGTAGTTGCCAAGTCTCCTACTCAATGTATAACGTAATTATACTACCATTGAAACCCACATATTCACATCTGAAGCTTAATATAGTTGGACAAGCCTCCTGTCACATTTCCAACAAGGTCAAGTCTGGCCGGTAAATTGTACATCTTCAGATGGAATTGGTGCAAATTTTTCATTTTGTTATAAAAAAGGAACATGAAGCGATTGAGGGAACCAACAACCACAAAAGGAACACATACTGAAATTGAAGAAAATAAGTAAACAAGACTAGATATTTAAAAAAATAGGATCCAAATTAACTGTGACTAATTATGCTTGGCACTACAGATAAAAACTGAATCTTGTTCCTTCACCTAAAGGCCTCAGAGTCTGTGAAATGATTACAAGGCAGGCAAGGAGGAAGAGTCCAACATACTGGAACCAAGGAGGTTATTATTCTCTGCTCTTGGGCTACTCCCTGCACTGCTATTTGAGAGACACCCGAATGCTGTCTTCTGTAAGACCCCAGTAGGAGATGACCCTAATGAAGAAGGGCTGTTCTTATCCCATCCCTCTGTCATAAGATTAAGCACTGAAGAGTTCTTCAATTCTGCTGCAGTGTTGTTATTCGTATGGTGCAAAACCTCCCCCAAAGGACCACCAAGTGAAGTCTCCCAACTGATTGGGATCCAATTTGCTTGCTTACTGTTTTGTGCATTGAGGGCACCTCCTACTCCCAAACCCATTGGCTTGGGGTCTAGTTCACGCGAAAGCCGGAGTGGGGAGAGAGTGAGCTTCTCGTTGTTTGTAGAGGAAGTGGATGGTATGAAGTCCGAGGAAGCAATGGGGATTGAAATTGACAACTGGGTTCTGTCTGATTGCATGTCAAATTGGTCAGGCCAAGAAATAGCTGGGCGATCGGATTGGTTTTTAGGCCAATCGTCGATGAAGTGGCGAAGGGAATGCTGTTGTGAGTTGGTTTCTGCAGGGTCTGTCAGGTTCTGTGATGAAGAACCATAGTTTCTGCAGCTCATTAGAGAAGATCCTTTCTGTGATGGGTTGAGGAGGGAGTCAGAGGGTACAAGCCCAAACTCTGTTCTTGAGGATTCTTCATATCCGATTTGCTGTTTCTGGATCAAGCATGGGTTCTCTTTAGACAACATGGAGGGGCCTGGTGTTTGATGCATTCTTTCACCCACATTCTCTTTGTTCATGAACATCCTAAAAACAAAGAGAAATCAAAATTAAAATTTTTTATAAAAGAAAGAAAGAAAGTAAGAGAATATGTGTTTAAAGGAGACCAGTCACCATCAGCACTGAAAAGATGATGATATAATTGATTCCACAATTCTTTGGATAGTAAAAGTAATGAATGTGGTACTACTCCACAATGCCAATTTTAGATGTCCAGATTGAAGCCTGAAAAACGAATAAATGCTGAAAAGATACAAAATTGAATCTGCTTTACCTGTTCATCTGAGTGGCTGCAGAAGAATTAGATGCAGCAGGCTGCAAGCTCTTGAGCTGTTGGTTGGCAATGCTGAGGCTGCTTGAACCACCGCCAGCGGGCATGGGCACCGAGGATGCTGATGAAGAAGCCGAAGGCATAAGCTGCTTTGAGGTGGTGGTGGTGGTGGCAGTGGTGGTTCCAGCGACAGGTTCCACAGGCTTTCTTGAACGATGGCGGCCTCTGTTCATGTGCCGCTCACAATATTTTTGGTCAGGAACGGCATCTCTCCAGCACCGCCATTTCTTCCCATCAGTCCTACGACACCTTCCTGGCTCAGGATCAGTGTTGTTGGAGAATCCCAAATGGATAGGACCCCATCCCACTGCACATATGCACACACCCAAAAATGAAAAACTTAGAATGCAAGAAAGGAATGAAGAAATAAAAACCCCAATCTTGGTTTCGGATGCAGAAATTTGACTTGTGGACTAAGTTATGTTCATTGTCAGGCACAAACATGATACTAAAATTTACAGAATAACATGTGGAATATAGATACAAGAAATGTTCTTGGATTAGTACTTAACAGTTGAACATTCTACTCTGTACATATAAATAGCATTTTCTAATTTTCCTGAGGAACAGAGAAGGATGAAGTTACATACATGTATTGGGCCTCGGAAGTCCATTTGGAAAGGCAGAATCAAGGGCCTTCTTTATTGGGATGAGCAGATTAGATGGTATAGGCACATTTGCAGTAATGTATTTGTAGATCAAGGCCTGGTGTTCTAACTCCATCCATTGAGATGGAGTGAATGGCCCTCTGGCCCCTGCTATAGCCCAATGCATGGCAGCACCATTGAAGCTCCCAGTACTGTGGCCTGCAACAGAACCAGGTAAAGAAAAGACCAGACAGAAAAGCCAAAACTTTAAGAAACCATTTCATGACTATCTGATAATTTTTTTTTTTAAAAGAGTTAATTATTTGTCAGTGTAGAAGATAAAGAAAGTGTGAAAAAAAGGAGTTGGCAGTATACCCAAAAATTATACCTTGACTGTGCATTTATGGCTACAACAAGAAATTAACAATCATGAATTTCTTGTTTTTGCTAGAAGAAGGTAAAATAAAGGGGAAAGAAGGGGAAAAAGAAAAGGAAGAGAAAAAGGAATCAGAACCAATCAAAGAACAGGTCTTTGTTAGCTAGTTCTTATTTCTCCTCCAATCCGGGCTTCATAAATTTTTCTTCTTTTGTGCCCAACTAATCCAAAGTACTGAAATTTTACCAAAGCCATCCCCTCCCATAAAACAAGCAGACAAAAGATTTTTAAGGAAGAGAAAATATTTTCCACTTTTTTTTAGCGCTTGACAAGACTCAAAACCAAGACCATGGATGTTCCATGAAAAGACCTTCCACCAGTCCTCTGCTTGGGGAACCAACCAAAGCCAACATCTTTACCAAAAGCCAAAAACCAACCTCATGAACCCAAAAGCTCCATGCAATGATGCAAGTGCCCATATGTTAATTAATATTAAACCCACATAATAAACAACACCCTTAATTAAACTGATGATTATGTACCTGCACTTCTATTGAAAGCAGATAATGGTTGGTGAAAGTAAGGCAATGAGGCATTTTGAGAGCTCTTGTCAACCAAAACAGCTTCTAAATTGGGAGAATTAGAGAAGCTCAGCAATTGCTGCCCATCAGAGAAATGAGTGCTGTTGTTAGGCATTGTCTTGGAAGCGGAAAGAAAATCATCAGTCTTGGGCAGTTTTGAGCTTCTCCAATCTTCTTCAAGAGTGCCTGCAGATCTCCCCTGCTTGTGGAGCCCAGATCCGTAACATTGGTGCTTGGTCTCCTGATCTGATGACGAACTAGCAAGAGAAGCAAAACCAGTTTCTGCTGCTGCACCCCCCAACCCATCAAAACCCACCACCCCAAAATCCATATAGAAAAAAAGCCCACCTTCGAAGAACTTATTTAAAGTCTTAAACCCCCCACCAGCTAGAGGCTTAAGATAAAATGCAACATTGGGTCATTGCCTAAAAAAGACACAAGCTTTAGAGGGTGGAGAGAGGCGCGTTTTAAGAGCTCCTCAGCTTTTTTTTTTTGGACGAAAGAGCTCCTCAGCTGAAACTGAAAAACCACACTGGTTTTTGTTTAGCAAGTTGATATTTTGAGTGAAACATTAAATAATTGGAGAGAGAGAGAGAGAGAAGGAGAAAAAAACTTGACCGCACAAGAATTGTACTATGGTAGAAAAAACACTCCATTATATGGCAATGGCATCTCCACAACGACAAGTATTGCATTGGGATTCAATCTAAAAACTTGTTTGACTCATTTTCCATGTATGTAACTCACAAACTTTCAGACCCAAAAAAAACACAAACTTTCATTTCAGTTATCCCTTGAGCTTGTAAAATGTGCATATCTTCTCTGCACTGTCTTTGTCTTCTTTAACTAAACAAATAATATTTTATTACTTGTCAAGTTTGATAATTAAGTTAAATATTTGATTTAATTTAATACAATGTTTTAGAGAACAAATGATAGAAAAATCTGATGCCTTGTGGTAGGTAGTGTTAAGAGTTTAGAGGGGCGTACTTTTAGCCCACTATTAGTAACATCGATATTGTTCTCAATTTAACTACTTGTTTAGTATGTGTGGGGTTTTATACAAAAAGTCTCAATGTTATTTAAAGTGGAATCATTCATTATATGAGACTTTCTAAGTTTTCGATGTGCCACTATGTGTATTCTTAAATAAACAAATAAGCTACGTAATAAATTATGGACAAATCTGATGGATTGTTTTGATGATATAGTTCCCCATATACTAAATCTCAGACACTTTCATTAAAAAATAAAAAATAAAAAATAAAAATCTCGGACATGTTCATAAAAACTCTCTTCTTTTTTTTTTTTGTGTGTTGAGGTTCTTTTAGTATATAGTTAAAAGTGGGTTTTGCCTTGCAAAGTCCGATAGCGGTTTTGAGGGGTTTGTGAGTCATAAAGGTAAAAGGTCCAACTAGTGGTGGGGTGCATGAACAAAGATGCATTGCCACGTGATACGAATGTTCCATACTCTCACCCCCTCCATCTTTACTCCTACTCTCTCTTAATCACACTGTCGATTCGGTATGATCGGTAATTCAGCATAAATGACAGCTGGAGAATTTGGTATATACCTCGTTGTAGGTAAGTTATTCCTCTAAATGAGAACACAAAATCAAACAACCCAACGATATGTGTATACCTAGCATAAGAACATTTGAATTTACCTGATATGTTGTCGTTTTTCAATGATCTTAAATGAAAATTTCATTCAAATACTTTACAGTTGTACCCGTAAGGTATGTTTGTTCATACACTCTCAATTTTAACAATTAAGTATCTCAATCCCAAATGTAAGATAATCCTCACTAGGATACCGATTCCGCCATATGCTACACGTGTTCAAGGAAGACGAGATGCTGCACTAATTCAAAATGGACAGATTAATTATTTAATTAATTATATTCTGTACCTGTGTTGAAAGGCCCTTCGCGGGTGGTTAAGGAGATGGTGGTCAAAGAGATTGAATTGATTGTGTTTGAATATTCCAATCCACCCATTTGGGCTATATTTCTTTCATTAATAGCCTTTTTTATTATAAATAAATTATAATTTGTATCTGCATTACGTGTAATGAGATATGCATAGATTATAAAAATAGTGAAAATTCTATTCTCTACACAGCACACACCCACACGATTTTCTTATTGTGCAAGACTGGGACCCAGTGATTCTTTACTTCCGTGTGTAGCCACTTGGTCAAATCCTCTGCTTCTTCTTCTTCAACTTGTTTCTAAAAATTATTCTCTCCGGTCTCTCTCTCTCCCCCTCCCCCTTGGCTGCGTGCGTGCACATGCTTCCCTTAAACAAAAAAATGACCAACTACGTACACTTGGGCAAGTATCAATTTGGCTATTATAATGCATACACCCTAAAACATATCTAATTATTATTATTAATCCCAGCTGATTATTTTTAAATAAAACCCTATCAAACTCTGGCCCGGATAATTTGATCGTCCGATGACAGAATCCTGCTATGTACGTAAGTATCCTCGTCTAATCCTCCATCGATCATCCTTCCTATTTTCATCATAAAAACCAAAAAAAGTGTACGCAGTTGGATAATTGACTGGCAAGGGCTGAGGCCCCAGGGTAATACGAAATAGGGTCACTGGGTCAATGTGATGTTCCAAATTCAGAAGCTTCACTAAGATTCGCAGTACACATTCAAATGCGAAGTTAGTACAATAGAAAATTACAGCATTAATTTGCATCTTTAACATAAATTTACTTGATATTCCCAAAAGGGGGAAAAACAAACTTGTTACTTGTAGGCAAGGCATGGATATTTATTACATTCGCAGGGTTGTTCGGGTCGCTTTATTGCTGCGGTGTAGGTCGTTCCTTCAAAATAAATATCACTATCCTTGCCCTATATTTCTTGCTTGTTATTGGCATGGTACAATTTGATACGTGAAAGTGAAGTCTTTCTTCGTCGAGACACGTGGAATGAGAGGATTGGTTGTAAAAGTAAAATCAGGGTAAAATTTTTTGATTTTGTGCAATTACCGTATATAAACAAAAACTGGACCACATGATCCTGGTCAACAAAATTGCAGCGTTGGACAGGAAAATTTTCTCAGATATCAGTGAGAATATTGTTCATGAATTTTTTGTACATGTGCACTTAAAAATACGTACAAAAAGTAGAAGAGAAGCAAATTTTACTGTGGAATACAAGTAAATCCAAGTAAAAAGCTTACATATGTTTATTCTGATGGGAGGAATGTATGATTTTGTTGCTTTGGTTTTGGTCTTGTCGATTTACAGTGGCCGTACCAAAGTACTTGGGGATGTTTAAGATTAATATAATCTGGCAGGAAGGAGGCAGTGTCTCCCAACTGTGAAGCTTCGACAACAACATTGGCATATGCTGCATGCATGCAGAAACTAGATCAATTTTATTCCAGATTGGAGGCACAGTCACACAAATATTGCATGCTCAAAACATTTAATTTTAGTATTTCTTGAACTATAAGTTACATTATTGTTACTACATACCACCTTATAAGACAAACTCCTCTGTAAGAAAAACATTTGTGGAAACGGAGATACTACTGTTTTCCTATTTTCGACCAACCACTCATTTTCAACAATGTTCAAGTTGGAAAGTAGAGCATTTTGGAAGTATAAAAAATGGACAGAATAAAAAACAAGGGGAAAACGATGGTTTTGGAGAAGCATGCTTGATGTTTCCTTGTCAAAATTGAAGGTAGGAAAGACAGATTGCAGGACAATTATTCTCTCTACTACTTGATGCACATTTTCGAGTACGAGACACATTATTAACTGTTAAAATTCACTTATATTTCCACGAGTTTATTATGAAAGAAACATACGTGTTGGTCACAATATGATGTCAACATAACACGTTATTGACAATAATTTACTTAAACAGTTGCATTATGCAAAAAAATTTAGTGCAGAACATTATAAATAATTAAAAGTATTTATTTTTCTTACCCCAAAGTACAAATTACTTCATAATAGTACTGGTGTTGTAATCGAAAAAAATAAATTATATATCTATATGCATTGCTAAAGAAAACATATTGGATAATATTTCTGGGCATTGGCATGCATCTCATCTGGGAAATGACACTAATCCTTTCCCTTCCTATCTCTTTGCCTCTTGCATCTTCTTTCTTGGTTTTCATTATTTTTATTTTTATTTTAAATTTGAGGAGAGAGAGAGAGAGTGAGAGTGGTTGTTAGTGTGACGTTGACGTGTCAAGAGGGGGTGTGGTGATGAAAGTGACACGTGGAACCAAGACATGTCTCCCTAGTCCCCGCCTACGTTGCTTGTCTTTATCCACAGAGACTTCACCGCCCTATTGGAATGACAAGTGGCCATCACCATAAATTAGAAAATAAAATGAAACTAATTTGCTGGGTTTCAAGAAAAAGCGAGTTTTACTTTTATTTTTTATATATTTTTTGGTCGAAGACGGAAGACCAAGTTCGCCTCCTCTTTGCCGACAGCCATGGGCTGGGTGCATTGTCCCATTTACGTCATCCCCTTCGTACATCTTTAAAAACGGGCCTTTCCACCACACCCCACTAAATGGGCCCACATACCCATCCCCCCATCTGATATTTTGTGGACGAGTTTCGCTATTCAGCGCTGGACCTCATCTCCTTGCAGTACGACTCTTTGACTTTCTTTCTTTCAAAGCGGGAATAAACCAAAAATAATAATAATTTATTATAAATTTGTAACTATACCTGAATAATAATTGCTGAGTCGGAAATTTCCCAAAAAGTATCGTCTTCGTAATTTGATTTGACACTCTGAAAGCCTCAAATTAAGGAATATACTTCCCTTATTCCACTATAAATAGTAGCTCATACATTTCTGCTAATAACAATATGACGTGCGTATAGAAGTTTCTTTTGTGTATTATTTTTTATTTATTTTTGTATATGTATTAAATTGTGATTTGCAAAAAAAATTTCATTCTAAAAAAGGAAGCGAGCAATATTCTCAAATTAATACAACTTTGTGCAAGCATCTTAACTCACAATCGACAGGGTGACTCTTATTTTCTCAAAAGTCCAGCAAAATAAAACTTTAAAACTCAACTGTGCTCTCTAATTTATCATATGGAGCTTTAAAAAACACCCTATCACATTATAAAAAATAACAGAGTTTTGGATAAAATTGACGATATCATTTTAAGTTTAAAAGAGTAATGTGAGATTTGACCGTAGTTTCGAGAATATTGATATAAATAAGCCTAAAAAATAAGCGTGATGTAAATTGAGAAGACCAAAAAGAGTAAAAACAAACATAATAATTATAGGGTCCCAGAATATCACATTGTATACA